ACAGATTACAAGCGTTTATTTATTCTTAAATACCAGAATTCCTTTGGAACTGCTATGACTTGCATGATAAGTTTTATGTCTGGGGACATGTAAGAACTGTTTAATTCTAGTTTATCATTAATGCATTTTTGTGCATATGCGAAATTGGTAACATCATTGACTATGTCTATGTCGTGAGACATACAACTAATGACTTTCGATATTGAGTTGAATTATGTAAAACAAAATGTTATTCGGTGAATCATAATTGCATTTAAATGGTGGATATTGATTTCAAAAATAGATTAAACTGGTTTAAACATTTACTTTGTGACCTTTCTAGATGTTACGAACTACAACACATACTCATATGACTAATTTTGAGATTGTCTTTGTGCAAAAATAAATAACTTTTAGCGTATCTTTATTATTATTAAACTCCAAAATCATACATATGTACTTGTACATTAACTCGCATTTTGTCTTACAAACAAACAAAAAACAAACCTTAATGATTAGCCGTACAAAAATGTATGTCTTGAGACATGACATAATTTTTTTGACACGTAGTTATTGTGTAAAGATATGCACTATCGGTGTATCATATTTGCATTTTGAAGATATAATGCACCATGCTTAAATGATGATATAAAATAACGATTATCATTCCGTTTATTTGTAGACTTTGTAAAAGGTGAAATTGCAGCGTTTTTGTTTCTCGTCCAGAGCTAAGAACTGGATATTCTTACAAGGTTAATTGATGTTTTTTGGAAGCTGAAATCATCTCTGTTGTCGTAAAGTTTTGTTTTCAACCGACCCTCATAGTCAATTTCTAGATATAAGTCATAATCAAATGGCAAAATCAAAAGCTCAAACACATCAAACGAATGGATAACAACTGTCATATTCCTGACTTGGTACAGGCATTTTCTTATGTAGAAAATGGTGGATTGAACCTGGTTTTATAGCTAGCTAAACCTCTCACTTGTATGACAGTCGCATCAAATTCCATTATATTGACAACGATGCGTGAACAAAACAAACAGACACAATAGGTAAAGATGTCAAAAATAGGGGTACAGCAGTCAACATTGTGTTATCATCTTAATCACTATAAAAACAAACAAATGTAACGAAGAAGCACAAAATGGCATACATCAAATTTGACATCCTCATTTTGCTTATATTATACGATATTATTTATCTATGTAAAATCCACCCATAAAGGATTGAAGGTTTTAAGTACTGGCGTAAAATCGCGGGTTTGAAATTCGCACAGGTAGACATAAAATAATTTTGTCGTTCAAAGTATGACGGGATACATAAATACAGAGTCACGTAAAATGGATATAACAAAAAAAAAAAAATTAACAGTAAAAGTAATATTAATAAATAAAATAAAATAATTGTGTGGTACAAAGTATGACGATATACATAAGTACAGAGTCACGTCAAATGTATATCACAAAAAACAGACTCAACAGTAAAAGTGATATTAATAAATAAAATAATTTTGTCGTTCAAAGTATGACGGGATACATAAGCACAGAGTCACGTCAAATGAATATCTCAAAAAACAGACTTAACAGTAAAAGTAATATTAATAAAGATAAATAAAAGAATACTATAACACGTTATTAAGATGATAAACAACGTCAGTTCGCAAAATCTATACTTCAAGACCATCGTGTATTATTTGTGAAGTTGATACGGAATATTTATCAACAAGTTCTTGGTACCTTCCGATGAACTTTTTTAGAAAAAGGACGAGACGTTCTTTGGCATACCCCTGGTTCATCAACTTTCTGCTCAGACACTGGTGACGTTTTACAAAGTCTGCGTAGGAGCTGCAAGCTCTTGAATATCGAATAAGTTGGGAAATGTATATCCTATATGCAGGTGAAGTTGGTATATTGCTACTAAGGTGGGGGAAATTGATAATTTCAAAATTCAAATCGTCTCGTTTGTCATAGATTCTGGTACTGAGATGACTGTGTATGTTAAATTCGATGTATAAGTCTAAAAATGAGTCGGAGGAAGCCGTGTCTGTTGTTTCTTTAATTTCTAGTTCTGGTGGATATATTAATGGAACCCAATCAGAAAAGTTCGAATTGTTAATGGAAAGAACATCATCAATATATCTGAAAGTGAAATTAAATAACCTTGCTTCTTTGATCTTCTTGTTTTTGGCAAGTGTCTGTAGGAACTCCGATTCATATGAAAATAAGAATAGGTCGGCAAGGAGAGGCGCACAGTTCGTTCCCATAGGAATGCCGACAATTTGTTGAAAGAGTCTACCTCCAAATTCAACAAATATGTTGTCAATAAGAAACTCCAGCATACTGATCACTTGTTCCTCTGTGTAGCATGTTTTGCCCTTTTGTTCACTATAAACAAAATATGCCTTATGGTATCCCAAAGTAATAAATTTATAGCGTATGCTACCATTTTTATGATGAAAAGCATAGTGGATTATTTCTTTTAGACGGTTTTTCAATTTCACATGGGGAATGGTGGTATACAAGTTTGAAAAATCAAAAGTTTTGATAGAACTAATTTCAGAAAAAGACCGAGATTTAAAATTATCCAGACGTTCTTTAGAGTTTTTAAGAATCCACATATGGTTAATACCACTACGCGAGTAAACAGTTTCACAGTATTTCTGAAGACCCTCTTTCACTGCGGACAGAATTTTAGTCAATCTAATGGACAATTCTTTAGTGGAACATGCAGATGAGCCGGCAATGTACCGTTGTTTGTACGGAATTTTGTGAAGTTTAGGTATCCAATACAAACAAGGTAAGTCCTCCGATTTGTTGCTCAATGCAATGTTCATTGAAGCCATGAAGGACTTATGATTCGCCAAAATCTCATCCTTGTCAAATGATATGTTTTTGTATGTGGGATTACCTGAGTGCTCATTTATTCCTAATTCTTTTACAAGACACTCGTAGTAATACGATTTACATATAAAGACAATATTATTTGAAGCTTTGTCCGCAGGAACAACAACATACTTATCTTGAAGAGATGATAGGCATTTCACAGCCTCTTTGTCTCTGAATACGGACTTTGGTCGATCATTCACACAGTTTTTCAACTTATGAATGCGACGTTTTATCAGAGACCTGATTGTTGTGACCCATTCTGACAAAGTGTCTAGTTGAACTTCTCGTTTAGCCCATGCTCTGGCGTAGTCCTCAATGGAATCCATAATTATTTTAATGTTATGGTTCCAATTGATGTGTTGGAGTTCTCTAAACTTAGGACCATGAAAAATCATCTTTCGGAGATTTTCATTGTGAATTATGTTTAGATCCCCAGTAATAACATGGTCAAGGGGCTGTAATTGTAAGGCGAGTGGGAACAGTCACATGTCAGAGGATTTTTGAGGTATTCTTCTAAATCAAGGTCCTGTAATGCTTGTTTATAGTTAAATATTTTGGATGCAATGGTTTTGGTGTAACTGTAGGGTACAATAGGAACAGACTGATTTTGAAAATAAATAGGAATTTTAGATGTTACCTCCTTGTGATGTAGAACGTTGCTGGTGTTGATTGTATCAATCTCTCTATTGGTAAAGTAAACAGGAAGGAATTTCCTCTTTTCCTCATGTAAAGGTTCCGATCTTACTGGTTTAAAAAGACGGAAAAGAGCTACATCCATATTATACTGACAAGTCTGTATATTGGAGAAAATGTATTTATGCATCCTTTGTCAAGTGCATAATCTCTCAAACATTTTAGAAAATTAACAGGCAGTGAAAAAAGAATAGTTCTAATGTAAAAGGGGAATAATATAAATTCTACAATGAGTTAAACAAAATCTTGATCCTGTGTATTATTACAAACAATTGTACGTTTTTGTTTTTGATTTAAGTCGAAAAATGTGTGTTTGTACACCCCTCCCTCAAAAGAAAGCTGAACGGTCGTTACCTCATGGAAACTGCTCATCTGATTTGATGTATTTTTTAGGATTCTATGAATGTCATTATTTTGCACAATAAAAGATATTGGTAGGAATGCTCAGCAATGCAGGATTACTGCATGTTTAAACTTTTAAGTTTCCCCACATTGTCTGTTACCTACATGTAAACTTGTTCTGGACATGGTCCTGTTGTCATCTATTAATTAATCCAACGGGTTGACTACGATGTAGAAATATGTTTATCCCATGATAATCTTTCGGCTGTAAAACCCATGCAAAAAGTTAAGCGTTCGTTTGGCTGTGCAGGACGTCAAAATCCACAGTTGTGCCTAGTCAGAAAGTATCGTGTAAAGAGTGCTGAACTCTTTGCAAAAAACTAGCGTATTTTTGCAACAAACAAAACCTGAAAAAGCATTTAATGACGTCACAGTTAACTTCATTCATCAAGTTTTGACTGATATTCACATTCTTTAACAATTTTATCTGATGCTTTAAGATATGATACTTAATTGAACCTTACCATATATTTTTCTCGGTTGTTTTTTGGGAAGTGTTTTGGAAAAGAAACAATTGATATTCAAATAACACTATTTACGACATGTATGAGAAAGGTTCTTACTGTAAGCAGCATGCTTACATTTTGTCATAATTGTATAAACAAATGTCTTAGAAAAAAATATATATAATAATTGTGTAATGAAAGAAAATTAGATCAACTAAACAAATTCTTAGAATTATAATCATATCTACATTACACATTTCATTTTGTAGATTCTATTCTCAAAACGTTTACAAATGATCGAAGAGCAAAACATGTGACGTTTTGCAATGCTTTCCTTGGTCAAACTCAATTATCCGTTGATATCTATGATAATAATACTTATAATAAACATTGACATATGATTTGATTTCACATGATTGATTTTCCGTGTATTAAATCTTGTACAAATATAAAAATAAAATATGAGAAACAATTCGGGATCAATGACAGAAAAGGTAACGAACGTTTTATCAAAAGTGAACTTTACAACAAAAGCGAAGGAATGAAAATTTAAAAAAATCAACAAGTTTAATTAATTTGTTAAGGTAAAAATGAGTGTACGTTCTTTCCTTGATATATATGTTAAAATGTAAACTAAATCATCGGCGTTTTATGAAAATCTATCAACAAATCTAGTTTGAATTTCCGGGTGTATTAAATTAGAATAAGAATAATGTCAGAGTGTGATTAATCTAGATTTAGAATAAAGGAAAAAATGGCGAAAGATACCAAGTGAACAAATTATAAATCAAGAGAAACTGACAACTCATTTGCAAAAAAGAAAAGACAGACGACGAAACGATAAACACGTTCACATAGCCCTCAACAGAAAATTAAAACAACACAAACCATATAAAAACCGGAGGTGATCTTAGTTGCTCCGGAAAGTTAAGCAAATCCTTCTTCACTAGTGACACCAATCATGTAACAAATGGTAAGTACAAATTCGGTGATAAGTGTCATTTGATGATTTCACCATCGGGAAAAAGGAGAACGTAATTGTGGTTATGACAATTGAAACATATTCGTATTCATCTTTGACACAGATATTCCATTATAGTCAAACAACTCGTGATGGCATCCGTAAAACTTTTCGAAGGGATGACTTCAACTTCACCACTTGAAACCCTTATTTCAATAACTTCTTTGCAGACAGGAAGCCTTTATCAATAAAATAATGGTAGAAGACGCAAGCTCTTGGATATCGTAACAACTGGGAGATATCTACACCACATGCAGGCGCTGCTGGAATGTTCCTATAAAGAAATGAAAAGTTTACAATTTAAACTTTGAAATCACTAGAATAAACGTACTTTTTTCAAAATAATTAAATCTTGATAATTAAATTACTTTTTTATATAATTTTGACTGCCAATACGATATATTCTTTTTCTCAACTGAGATAAATCACGCCGTTGTAAACGAGCCTTAGATACTAGCGATACGTTTCAACCTCAAGCGAAAAGCATGATATGAACAATTATCCAAAAAAAGACAAAAGAAAAAATACACAAAATAGCGATAATTTATGTTAAAGTGTGCATGTTTATGTGTATTAGACATCATGAGAAGATACGTACGCTGGTTTGTTAGATATATAATGATATATATAGATATACTTCTAAACGCAAAACATGTTTTTTGTAGACGAAGCCTTTAAAACAGAAGCTGTTATATTTAGCTTCATGTGAGTATTAAATAATTGAAACAAACAACTTCAGAAAAAAAGATGGACAAGTTTCAAACTTCGGGAGAAATGTGAACAGTTTCTTTAACATTATTATATTGATGTTAAACATATCAATTTTTTAGGGCAATTATCACGATTTTCTCCGTTATGTATTCCTATACAAATGCTTTATGTGGTCTTTAGCTTTACTTTTTGTGGAATTAGGAGGTAGGATAACTGTTTAATTATTCAAAGAATAACCAATCAAATAATTCTAATATAGAAAGCATATACAAGATTCAGATTCAATCTCACCACTTGTAATTCATAAACAAACAGCACATACAAAGTATATACACGGTATAAATCAAACACTCTACAAAGTTTTTATACACGTGTCTTTTACTTAAGACCTTAGAGAGAATGTAGAATATATTGTGCATGAAATTTCCCTGACATATAGCAATGAGTGACCAAACTTCACATTGTAGCGCATGGGTTATAGTTAGAGGTTATAAGTCACGAGTTGAATATTTTTCGATGTTTGAATTCTTGGATTAATAATTCTTTTGATTACAATTTAAAAATAAAATGCTCTGCTGGGCGCAGCTTGATACGACCGCAGAAGTCGAACCCTGAACAGTTGGGGCAAGTATGGACACAACATTCAAGTTTGAAACACACTGAATTTGGATTGTGATTAAATATTTGACACAGCATAGGCTTCTGACACAGAATGAATGTGGTCTAAGTCGTAAAAACTTATAAATTTTTTATTTACCTATTCAAACCATATCATTATTATTAGCTTTAATATATATAAATCAGAAATAACCAATTTAAAATTGAAAATTTTAAAGAAAAAAAAAAAAGGAAAAAAAGGGAAAAAAACATCCCTCCCCCCAAATTTTTTGAACCCCCTTATGATTCATCACCCCCAAACTCAATCCCAGCCTTCCCTTTGTGGTATGGTACCTTGCAGTACAATTTCAGAGAGATCCATACACTTGAACACAAGTTATTGTCTGGAAACTAGAAAAAATGCTTGTTTTTTTGCCCCTTTTTGGCCCCAAATTCTTAAATGTTTAAGGCAATTACCCCATAAACTCAAACCCAGCTTTTCCTTTGTAATATGGAACCTTGTAGTACAATTTCATAAAGATCCATACACTTACACACAAGTTATTGTCCTGAAACTAGAAAAATGATAGTTTTTTGCCCCTTTTTGGCCCCTAATTCCTAAAATTTTGAAGCAATTACCCCCAAAATCAATCCCAGCCTCCCCTTTGTGGTATGGTACCTTGCAGTACAACTTATGAGAGATACATACACCTGAACACACGTTATTGTCTGGAAACTAGAAAAATGCTTGTTTTGCCCCTTTTTGGTCCCTTATTCCTAAACGTTTTGGGCAATTACCCCCAAACTCAATTCCAGCTTTCCCTTTGTGATATGGAACCTTGTAGTACAATTTCAAAAAGATCCATACACTTATACACAAGTTATTGTCATGGAATTAAAAAAATGCTTGTTTTTTTACCCTTTTTTGGCCCCTAATTTCTAAACTTTTGAGGCAATTACCCCCAAAATCAATCCCAGCATTCCCTTTGTGATATGGCACATTGTGGTACAATGTCAGAGAGATCCATACACTAACACACAAGTTATGTCTGGAAGTTACAAAAATGCTTATTTTTGGCCCTTTTTTGGCCCCTAATTCCTTAACTGTTGGTACCATAACCCCCAAAATCAATCCCAATCTTCCTTTTGTAGTATTGAACCTTATGGTAAAATTTCATAGAGATCCATTCACTTAAACTAAAGTTAGAGTGCGAAAACCAATGTGTCTTCGGACGACGACGACGACGACGCCAACGTCATACCAATATACGAGCGCAAAATTTTGTTGCGGTCGTATAATTAGAAGATGTTGCATGATTGCCAATAAGACAACTCTCCACCGGAGAACTAACGAGGTAGAAGTTAACAACTATAGGTCACCATACGACCTTCGACAATTAGCCTTATCTATACCTCATTGTTGGCTATAAAAGCTCCAAAATGACAAATGACATAATAGTAAAAAAGAATAGAAAATGCAAAAAACGTATTTTAATTTGTTACATTATATGAATGAAAAACACATGTGAAATTATAGATTTATATTTCTCTGGAAAATCACGGCATTTTCACTGCAACTAATGTAATGGTGTATTTTAATTTGAGTGCCTCGGTACAGTGCATACAGTGATCATTTGAGTACCTTGAATGCAACATCTGGTTCGTCTCCTTTGTGTGTTTATAATATTTGCGTCGTTTTCTATTGACAACTAATATTGTGCGTTTCAAAGACTTTAATTCCATCGTACAAATGCAAATAGTGTTACTTTTTTGGATGGATGGATGGATAAAATCTTGAATAATATACATATATGTCTATGCAGCGTGTGCATGTGTAAATTTCTGAGAGTTGAAGACTTGTGATGAGTTCAAGTTTTAACTATATCTATCAAAACATGTATTGATATTTGCCATAACGTTGTAACATATATTCCCTGATTTATTTTTATACATTTAAGGTATCCTGTTACTATTTTCCGTTTACGTTCTTCTCAGACAGCTGTTTGATAGCTCAAGGGTAACAAATTTACCAGTTCCTTTATACAGGAGAAACATGTCAACAACACATTTTGATAGAGTTACAAGGAAAAAGAAGGGGTCAATATGTCCTATTTTACAAGGTGGTCTCGGAAATAGATTGTTTCAATTTTCTACTTCGTTTGCTGTTGCAAGGACTAAACAAATGGAGCTTATCGTACCTCCCGATGCTGAAATCCGGAAAGTGTTCGAAATTAATGTGACATCCAATAAATCAAAAGGCTTATGCAAGGGGTTTCGAAAAGTTTTAGATAAAGCATCTCCGACATACAACAAAAGTTTACTAAATTTTAGTTCTGAAGATAACATTCAACTAGGATATGGACTTCAGTCATGGAAATATTTTCACATGTATGATAAGGAGTTACGGAAGCAATTAACATTTCGAAAGCATATTCAGAATACTGCAGAACAGACCATTTGGAAAATACTACAGAGACGGAAGATTAAGTCTCGCAAAAGTATTACTTTGGTAGGTGTTCATATAAGGAGAGGTGATAAGGTAGGAAACCATGACGGATTTAATATTGCAACACCCAATTATTTAAACAGATCTGTGAACTATTACGCTAAAAGGTATGCAACTGTTATATTTCTAGTTATATCAGATGGCATGGCTTGGTCTAAAAATAATATGCCTTCTCATGTTCCTGTAGAATTTATATCCTTAGGGAAAAGAGAATTTGATATGGCAACTGTCGTTGCTTGTGACCATACAATCATGACAATAGGAACTTTTGGCTGGTGGATTGGTTATTTAACTGGTGGAAAAGTGGTTTACGTTAAAGATGCTGCAAAAAAGGGTTCACGATTTGAACGCATACTTAATTTTGAAGACCATTTCTATGCAGAATGGGTAGGACTTTAATCAATAAATTTTTGACAAATTTTGTTTTAATGTGCTATATATCTTATGCAAACATATTGGGTATTAAGCATTACTGACCTTGAACGTCTTGTGATTCAACTTTTGGAAAACTGCAAGAGGAAAAAAAAAACGAAATACATAAAAGTGCCTTAAAACAATAAGTTTTCTTAGAAAATGATCAGTAATAACATAGTGAACCATCGAACTGTCAAGATTATTTAAAATGCAGTTATCGTCATTAATGTACATTTGTTATTGTCAAGATATAGAGATACAAAATTTGCTCATTTGACAGATCTCCCAACACGTGTTCGAAAGCAGTAGTTCACCGTTTTCTCCACCACTGTTTTTATGCATTAGTTGTGACCCTAGCAGGTGTTTGCTGAGCTATTTCTATGACTTTTCATAGATCTCTATGTTAAACTGTGTTCCATGGTGACATCAATCAAGGATTTTTAGATAAGTAGCAAAAGCTCAAAAATAGCAAAATGCAGGGTTCAAAATTAACTTTTTTCAATAACCTGCCATTCGGGCATATAACTATGATATATTACTTATCCTAAGGAGATAACCACTTTTTCAAATTGTGTGCATGCGTAAGAAATTTCTACACTGTCATTTATGGACATAAACTCATGTAAAATTCAGCTTTCAGTTTTTTCCTTTGAGGCCCGCCAAAAAGTTCTCCAGAGTCAGTTGTCATGCCATCTTAAATCGCAGGGGCTCGTCGAGAAGTGTCTTTAAAACATAATGTTATATCTATCAAATGATAACACTAGAAATAAAACAATTTTTCCTGGAATTTTGTGCTTTATCTGGGATTGATACTGGCGTTGCTCTAATATATATTTACCCACGGAATCCTGTTCCTTGAATAAAGTAATGCTGAAAGTTTAGCAAGCTCATACATAAACATTATATATGAAATCCTTTATAAACTAAATCCATTGGATATTGGATGTGTACTGATTGATAATTTTCATATGATTAACATATCTACAAAAACATGAAACGGATTGGTCCGTTAGCATTTTTTCCTTGACTTACTATTCGATAGACCATATTGCCGAAACTGCTTTCGTAACTTTCACTGTGATCCAGTCAATAAGGATTGAATTCATGTTTTCTTTCGGACCTTTTTCAGTTTGTGAGTTAATTTGCCTAGTTTACACATCAACAACCTCTAAAAAAATGTGTTCCGTCCTATAACATGTTAGTGTTAGACATACGAGTTTGTATTAGTAGTTATTTGCTTTGAACTAGCTTTCAGTAACTGCGAGTACTCTCGGATTTGTGCTTTTGTGTTTTTGCTAAGGTTTGTATGTACTTTGAATGTATCTGATGAGTAAAGCCCTTTTTAACAGAGTTTTATAGTTTGTTCTTTTAAGTTATTCTGTCACATCACTGTCCCACTTTCAGGGGGATTGACCCAGAAAACATGTTCATCCCTGCCACATTCTGTATGAGCCTGTCCCAAGTTAGGAGCCTGCAATGCAGTGGTTGCCGTTTGTTGCTAAATATCATATTTCTTTTTTCGTTTATTGTTTTGTAAATATAATCAGGCTATTAGTTTTCTCGTTTAATACATTGATCATTTCAGGATCTTTTATAGCTCACTATGCGATATGGGTTTTGTTCATTGCTGAAGGCCGTACAATGACCTACTGTTGTTAACTTCTATGTAATTTGGTCTCTGATTGAGATTTGTCTCATTGGCAATCCTACCACATCTTCTAATTTCTTACATTTTCCTTTATTTCACTTTGTTCAAGGTTTTTGAAAGTTTATGATTTCAAGTTGATCTCAAATTTATATTATTGAGTCTCGGATTGTTTTTTTTTTTTTAAGTAACCAAGTCTAATGTTTACTTGTTCATTGGTTAGGATGACTTTCTCAAAGAAATTGTAGCAGCTGTTATTTTCAAAACTTGATAGTGTCATTAACTTAATATCTGGTTATAATGTTAAAGAATTGAAAAAGCTATCTGTATTTATTTCCAACATGAATTACTGCTAAACTATTTTTCCACTGTGCTGACGTTTATTTTTCGAGTATGCACCAAAACCTTTGTTTGCTATTTCAGGTATTCAAAATACTTATTTGGCCCTTGCAGCCATTTAAAAATTCTGATCTATACAACAAAATCTACATAAGGCAAGAACCTTCAAATATGAAGATTCTGAAAATTGGTTCTAGTTGGCATGAATGATTTTGCAGAAGATTAGAACGTGAAAAGTTTACAAACGATGTATGAACAGTGACAATATCTCACACGATCCTTTGGGCATAGGTGAGCTAAGAAGTTCAGAAAGTATTCTTGTATTGTGTGTCTAAAATGTTGTCTGCCTAGACTCCCAGGGATGGGTTAAAGTTATAAAAACGAAATTATTTTTAATGAAAATAAAAGCATAATATTTTAAGTTTGTGAGTTTCTTCCCTCTACATAAAAACGACGAATAAATAAATGATCGCTTGTACTTGAGACTCTTTAGTGAGCAGTGCAGACGGTTACTAAACTGGAGACAGAGAGATATGTCTCGCCTTTATGTTATTTTGATAATATTATCCAAATGTTGTAATTAAAATGGCTATATTTTAACATGTAAACAATGCAAAACATTTAAAGTCTATGAACCATAACTTAAGGAGAAGGGAAAATTACCTCTCGGAAATGCCTATGCGAATTCAATTGCATACAAAGTACGATTGAATTGTCATACATAATTGCCTTTTAGCTGAGATAAACACAAACTTTAAGAAGTAAACTATGCAGAAGTTGTAAAGTCAATGACCCATGATGAGGGGGAAGAGGCCAATGCTAATACAGCTGCATACTTAATATCGTTGACTTACAATTAATGAATTATCACAAACTTGATATGTAAATTAAACTATGCAAAAGTTTCAAAGTCTATAGACCATGCCTGAGTGGGCAAAACCGAATAATTTTAATGGAAACGAGATGTGCCAATGCTTATACAACCGAATACCAAATATCATTGCCCTTAAAGTAGTGGTTTCCCTTAAACTGACCTAATCAAAAATTGCATAGTCAATACTTCATGATGAGGTTGTGGCGGCGCATAATAATCTTCATTAAAATACGATATGCCAATCCTTAAACAACTTTATGCCAAACACAATTGACCTACCACTGGTTGTTTCCTTTAAACTGACTTAATCACAGATTTTATCATGAAAACTTAGGAAATGCTTCAAGGTCAACAGGTCATGACTGAGGGAAAGGGACCAATTGTAGGCTTCATTATACCTTGTGTTGACAGTTGTTAATGAGTTTAATATTTTATGCAAAACTTTTCAGCTTTCATACATTATATTTTATATGTAGAAATGAATAGTCCGTTTTCAAATTCTAATTTCAAACAGCATAACAATAAGTTGGTATCAATGCAAAAACCGTTATACTACATTTAGACAGAGAGCTCAGATATACTTTGCCCACAACTTGAAGTACTAAAACAGTTTGTTTTTAAAGCTGCATGGAGATGATGAAAAAAGACAAAAAAATGTATTCTATATGATGTAAAATCCATCAGAAGCTGTGGAAAAAATATTCAGTACAAAACTAGTAGAAGTCACTACATGCACAAAATATATGAATGACTGAATGAATAAATATTTTGGTATTATTAAAGTGCAACTTAAATTATAACAAACAATTATGTTCAAATATACTAATGGATTTCCAGCCGGACAAATATGCCTATAATACCCGTGGCACTCATGCCACATCTTCTTATTTATATTACAATGCACTGTCATGATATGATACGCATTATTCTGGATTATTGAAAAAAAAAATTCAAAATTTAAACGAAGATATAGAAGGAAACGTAATCAATTGAGCACAGATTGTCTGATAAGAAAACTGTTCAAAATTAAATTAGAAACAATTAGTAATTATTACAAAATAAATGTGTTAATCTGATGTTTGCTGCTAGTGTATTTAGATCGATGTTGTAATTGTCTTAGTTGTCGTTGAATAGTGTTGTTCTCAAATGTTCATAACGTTTAAAGTACAACATAATATATGCCAAGTACTTACCAAGCAACTTTTTGACACATGAACTGACTTCCACCTTTAGATAAAAGCGCTTCGGACACATGAAATTTATAACGTGTTGTTTTCATTTTTTACAGCACTGGGTCGGTACCTCTGCTGGTGGACTGTATCATCAGCCAAGTAGTCAGTACTTCGATGCTGACATGATTAATAACAAAACGTTATAAAATTGTCCGTTTATAAAATTTGAAATTATTAGAAACTAAGGTTTCAACTCCCTCAGGCAAAGTTGACCTTAGATGGACTTGGCTATTTTTGGGTCTTTATTGGTATTATAGCTCTTCAACTGTTTCGGTTTTATACATCCTTGGCTCTCAAATATTCGGCTTTGATCCAGCAAAGCGCTTTGGACGCATGAAATTTATAAATAGTAAACACTAGGTGAAAAAGAGACAAAAGATACCAAAGGGATATTGAAACTCAGTAGTAGAAAATAAACTGACAACTCCATGGCCAAAAAGTAAAAAGACCATTAAAAAAACAACAGTACACAAAACACGACATAGAAAACTAAAGACTGAACAACACAAACCCAATCAAAAATTCGCGATGACTTCAGGTGTTCCGGAAGGGTAAGCAGATCCTGCTCCACATGTGGCACCCGTCGTGTTGCTCATGTAAGAACGAATTCAGTGATAAGTCTAATTCGGTAGGTCACATTCGGGGAAAACGTCGGGATTGATGTTTTGACAAGAAACTATTAAACCAAGACTTCATCACATGGAAGCTATTAAACCAAGAGTTCCTAAGAAGTTTCTGCATGAAGTCAGCCTCATATGAATAAAAGAAAAAATCGGCAGGAAGAGGAGTCCAGTAGGTTTCCGTGGGAATGCCGATTGTTTGTTGAAAAAAAAAGTTAGGTGAACATTTAATACTATGAAATGTTAGTTTAAGTACCGTTTGTCTTAAAATTATAATTTTTGTTTACAACAACACAATGGCGGGATGTACAAGTACCGAGCCACGTCTAAAGGATATTACCAAAAAATGGACCAAACAGTAAACGTAATTAATTTACAAAGACAAATAAAAGAACACTATAACACGTAATTAAGATTATAAACAACGTCAGTACCCAGAATCTATACATCAAGACCATCATGTATTATTTGTGAAGTTGATACGGAATATTTATCAACAAGGTCTTGGTGTCTTCCGACGAACGTTTTTAGAAACAGGACGAGACGTTCTTTGACATATCCCTGGTTTATCAACTTTCTGCTCAGACACTGGTGACGTTTTACAAAGTCTGAGTAGCAGCTTCAAGCTCTTGAATACCGAATGAGTTGGGAAATGTATATCCCATATGCAGGGGAAGATTATATATTGCTACTACGGTGGGGGAAATTGATAATTTCAAAATTAAAATCGTCTCGTTTGTCATATATTCTGGTACTGAGATGACCGCTGATGTCAAATTCGAGGTACAAGTCTAAAAATGAGGGGGAGCCGTGCCTGTTGTTTCTTTAATTTTCAATTCTGGAGGATATATTAATGGAACCCAATCAGAAAAGTTTGGACTGTTTATGGAAAAAACATCATCAATATATCTGAATGTGAAATTAAATGATCTGGCTTCTTTGATCTTCTTGTTTTTGATAAGTGTCTGAAGGAAACCCGACGCATATGAAAATAAGAAGAGGTCGGCAAGGAGAGTCATACACCTTGTTCCCTTAGGAATGCCGACAATTTGTTGAAAAAGTCTACCTCCAAATTCA